GCAAGAGACAACAACAGACTGCACAAGGAGATGGGTAGCATGTTGGGTTAGGTATGGCCAGCTCTTTCTTCTGTTTAGTAGTATCAAGTGACAAGATTCAAGAAACTGATGCAAAAATGATCTTTAAAGTCATCTTTGAATATTGTGGTGTATGGTCGGTTTGGCTGGGAAAACAAGCAGCTTGGATTTTGAGAGATTCAGTTGGAGGTGAAGTGCTTTCATCCATTTTGATATGTCAGAGAGAGAGTCTGTGATGTGTGCTGAGACTGTGTGGTCATCAAGTGGAAATGACAGATAGAGCTGGGTGTCGTCAGCATAACAGTGGTATGAGAAACCATGTGATTGAATGATCTGGCTCAGCATGTTGGTGTATAAGGCAAAGAGAAGAAGTCCCATTACTGAACCTTAAGGAACCCCTGCGGTGAGGGGGTGCACTGCAGAAGTTTTAGCAATGATACTTTATGATCAACCAATATGGTTTGATTCAATCCATTAGTGTGCTCTCCCTGTGAAGCCCATACTTGAGAGTTAAGACAGAAGAATGTCATCAATGACTGTGTCGAATGCAGCTGAGAAGTCTATCTATTCTTTCACAGATAACAGAGCCGTTTTATTAGAGTGGCCATTTTTAAACCATTTTTAAGGTTCTTGCTCAGGGATCCAGAGTGGCAGTCTGTGGGAGTGGGACTTGAACTCAGAACATCTGGGATCCAAGTGCAATGCCCTAACCACTAGACCAACAGTCCCCCTTAGCAGGTGCTCAATGTGGAGCAAAGGGACTCTGTGGCCTCACTGACCTCAAGTAAGGAAAATCTGCTGGAGTTTGGAAGAGCGGATGCAACATGTGAAGAGAAGGGGTTTGGCGAAAGTTGGTGGAGGTTTCTGCGGAAGGAAATCAAAGGTGGGAGCAGAGGGAGTTTTTTGGAGGCTTGCACTGAATTGAAGAAAATAGTGATCAGAAAAAATGCAGTAGGTCCTCTATTGCACATTCCCTTTAGAAAATGAGATCAAGCACTGTGCCGGCTTTGTGAGTAAGAGGACTGCTGACTAGTTGTAGGTCAAAAGAGGTCATTGATGTTAAAAAAATCAGAGGGAGTCAAGGTGGATATTCATATCACCAAGGACCATTGTGGGGCAATCAAATCCATGAATCAAGCAGAGTATGATGTCAAGATTTTCAAGAAAATCATAGTTGTGCATGTAGGCGATATATGGCAATCATGCAGATATTGACCGGTACATTGACTGGCATGGTATTCAAAAGTGTTGTATTTGATATTAGGCATCAAATAAGGTATATAATCTCATCTCTATGCCCAAAATTACAAATACATCAGTCTCCTGATGTATTTAAATAAAATATTGATTAGTTGGTTTAAGAGCTGTCAAATATACAATTTATCTGTGAAGTCATCTGAAGTAAAACAGCTTTTGTGTTTTACCATAGGAGAAATAACCATTACTTTTAGACATAAACATATTAAAAAAAAAAATTATTATTTTTGAAATAAAGTAAAAGTAAATAAAAGCCTAATTGAAAAATATTATGCAGTAACTCATGTACCAGTGTTATTTATTTCATAATTATATGGATGTAAATTATACTTACACCTTGTTAAGATAATTTTTGAAATAAGTCTAAGTGTTTATTGGGCATTTAAGGCACCATTACAGCTAATATTTCAATAATTTAATATCTGAAGTGATAATGAATGAAACATTAAGGTTGTAAGGAAATTAAGAAAAAAGCCACTACAGTATACTTTGTTTTGATGTGTGTGGAATACATCAATCCTTCTTAATATTGCATTTTTTCTTATATTACACTCCCAGTTTAAAGTGTTTAGATACTTCTATTCTTGCTGTAGACAAACTAAACTCGTCAGCATCTGACAAACAAAATGGAGGAAATTTATGCTAATCAAGATTCTGGTAAAGGAATGGAGGCAATTTACGGTAGTTTAGATTTTTGCTTATCCGGTGTGCATAGCTCCTGATACAAATATGGAATTTAAGACTGACTTGTGAGGGGCTCTTTAAAGTCGGTTTATAACAATTAAACAAACAGATTGAAAATTATATCTACATTGTGCAAAACAATATTGTAATATATAACCATCATTCTCCCTCCACTCCAAATGCACTTGAATTATTGCTTCTTGTTGCTTTAAATCCTTTTTTTACCTTCCTGAAAAAATTCCCAAGACAATTAGAAGAAATGTTGCCTCAAACTTTCTAGGAACCTCCACCATCCCTCATTATTGCTTGCTTATTATTCTAACACTCTTAGCTCTTCAGCAAACAAACTGCCTTAAGCTATTCAGCCAACTGTCTGTCTATTTACTGCCTTCTTTAACTAGGGATGTAAAAAAAAATCATTAATTTATGAACAAGAGTTCGATAATCTTATATTAGATAGAAAAATTTTCCATACAATTAATTGTCCACTGAGAACTTTACATTCAGTGTTATCCTAGTCCACTAGAGGTCGTTATTTATCTTAACCTAAGCCTCACTGGTATTTTCCAGAGAAATAATGCCAGGGCAACAACATGCTAGAGCATAATCATCAGTCAATTCAGAGTTTGATCTGGTTTAGTTGGGGTTTATTTACAGTTTAATGGGGCCAAGCAGGAGGAACTCACTATATATATTTACACACTGCTCAAAAAAATTAAAGGAACACTTTGAAAACCCATCAGATCTCAATGGGGGGAAAAAATCATACTGTTTATTTATACTGATATGGACTGGGTGATGTGTTAGGAACAAAATGATGCCACATCTTTTGATGGAAATGAAATTTATCAACCTACAGAGGGCTGAAATCAAAGACACCCCAAAAATTACAGTGAAAAAAAATGATGCGACAGGTAGTCCATTTAGCTGAAATTTCATTGCAGCAACTCAACATGGTATTCAGTAATTTGTATGGCCCCCACGTGCGTGTATGCATGCCTGACAACGTCGGGGCATGCTCCTAATGAGACGACGGATGGCGTCCTGGGGTATCTCCTCCCAGATCTGGACCAGGACATCACTAAGCTCCTGGACAGTCTGAGGTGCAACCTGGAGGCGTTGGATGGATAGAAACATAATTTCCCAGAGGTGTTCTATTGGATTTAGGTCAGGCGAGCGTGGGGGCCAATCAATGGTATCAATTCCTTCATCCTCCAGGAACTGCCTGCATACTCTCGCCACATGAGGCTGGGCATTGTCGTGTACCAGGAGGAACCCAGGACCCACTGACAATGGGTGCAAGGATTTCATCCCGATACCTAATGGCAGTCAGGGTGCCGTTGTCTAGCCTGTATACACTACTGTTCAAAAGTCTGGGGTCACATTGAAATGTACTTATTTTTGAAGGAAAAGCACTGTACTTTTCAATGAAGATAACTTTAAACTAGTCTTAACTTTAAAGAAATACACTCTATACATTGCTAATGTGGTAAATGGCTATTCTAGCTGCAAATGTCTGGTTTTTGGTGCAATATCTAAATAGGTGTATAGACGCCCATTTCAAGCAACTATCACTCTAGTGTTCTAATGGTACAAAGTGTTTGCTCATTGGCTCAGAAGGCTAATTGATGATTAGAAAACCCTTGTGCAAACATGTTCACACATCTGAAAACAGTTTAGCTCGTTACAGAAGCTACAAAACTGACCTTCCTTTGAGCAGATTGAGTTTCTGGAGCATCACATTTGTGGGGTCAATTAAACGCTCAAATGGCCAGAAAAAGATAACTTTCATCTGAAACTCGACAGTCTATTCTTGTTCTCAGAAATGAAGGCTATTCCATGCGAGAAATTGCCAAGAAATTGAAGATTTCCTACAACGGTGTTTACTACTCCTTTCAGAGGACAGCACAAACAGGCTCCAACCAGAGTAGGAAAAAGAAGTGGGAGGCCGCGTTGCACAACTGAGCAAGAAGATAAGTACATTAGAGTCTCTAATTTGAGAAACAGACCCTCAGTAGCCTGTTTGTCGTCATGATCAATGTACGCAACATGCTCTTCTTGAATAGGTTAGTCTGGTCTACCTGTCAAATAACTAAGTTTAAATCAGAATGAGACACTTAACCACCTTATAAAGAATTTATTGCAAGCGAACAATGCTATAAATAATATTTACAAACTATGAAACATTTGTTCAGATGTGATCTATGGATTGCTGGTAAACAGTCTTTCAGTCTTGATGAAGCTAAATTTGAGCCTTGTGGCCAAAACATGCAGGATATGAACATATTTAACCAAAAATTCAGGAATCCAGCTGTGTTTTAATGGTTTTTTTTGGGGATATATATATATATATATATATATATATATATATATATATATATATATATATATATATATATTTTTGGGATTTAAGTAAAACCTTTTAGAGTGAANTTATTGGGATTTAAGTAAAACCTTTTAGAGTGAAATAGCTTCTAAAGATTGTACATTCAACATTGTGCACAACTTATCATACAAATCCAGACCACACTTGAGAAAACTTTAGCCAAATAAACACTTGGAAACCTTTAGATCTTTACTATTAGCAACTTAAAAATGCACTATAACACAGTGGAGGAAAAGGCTGCATTGTCTTTACGGATATGAGATGAAACAGCTGCCTCACCAATCTATAGTGCATTTTTAAGAAAACCACAGATTTTGGGGATTTTGTTATTTGAACACATTTAAAATCAACAGATCTGTTAACCAAAAGGTAGCTCTTAGGAAAATCCACAGCACACAAATTCCCTCTTGGCATTATGTTAAAAACAGAAGCAGCTCCAGGAAGAACTTCCAAACAACAAAACAAAAATAAAACAAGTCAACATTCTGAACTGCTAACCCTAACCCACTGATTCTCCCACTTTCCAAGTAACGTCAACTGATGGAAGTTCCAAAAGTGCAACTATAAACAGATCCTTATTTAAAAAAAAAACTAAAATAAAAAGGTTTCTGGGAAAATGTGACCTCATCCCGATGTTAGTTGTCCTTTGTTTTTCAGCATCCCAGCGAAACACAATGTATCTTCCTGCTTATATCATTGCTGTCGTTTCTTCTCAGACTCCAAACAGAAATTCTCATACGCCTCTTCAATTTCAGGATCCATCTCATCCTCAAAGTCGTATCTGTACAAACAAAAAAATCCAGACAAATCTTTGGTTAAATGACACTCAGCAAGCGGCATCTTTCTTATAGTCATTAAGGAGCTTCATGCAGAATTAGGATTGATACTGCATCCCTCCTCTGGACATAACTGGTTCATTGATTCTGAACAGTAGGTCAATGCCTGAATCTAAAAAGTTTGTAGCTAATAATATCCACTTTTCTTCAAGGAGTCACTCAGACAGAAGACGTGTGGTTTTATTTCGGTGCTGTGAAGAGGATGTTAGCTAAGGCTACTTACTCTTCGTTGCCATTTTCACCATCAACCTCATGAAAGTAGTCTTGCTTCTCTAGGAGCTCTTGATATTTTTCAGCATACTCTGAAAGCAGAGAGGCTGAATTTAAGGCACAACAGAGACTGAGAAATAGACGTGTTTCTGCTGAAACATAAGTGGGCAGGAGAGCCGCCTCGCATGATCCAGCAAAAACGATAAATAAAAAAAACATCTCGCATGACAAACATGTAAATCACAAAAAACAAAAATCCATTATTGTTATGCAAAAGATAATGTGCTGAAGCAGTTATTTCCAGGATTGCTGTATGTGTTTAATTAGAAAACTAATGTCGACTATTAAAAAACCCCAAAAAAAACAATGGTGGCTGATTGATTGGCACAGCACTATTTTTGGTAAAATGAGTTGTTGGAAATGAGCTCTGTAATCAAACTTGACCTTGAATGTTTTCGTATTTAACTGTGTCTGAGATACACACACAAAAAAAGAAAATTTACCAGTGAAGAAAACATCTAAATAACTTTGCTTATCTTTCTTTTTGGGTTTCATCAGAGGTGACATTGAGATTTGATCCACAGACTCACCAGGATCTGCTGCTGTAAAAGGTGTGCCATCTTCAGTGTAGAACGTAGGTTCGTTCTAAAGAGTAAAAAACATAACAGCACTGTGAAAGGAGAAGAATAGAAACCCCATATAGGGGATGTGGAACAGCAGAACGTAGAACTGTACTGAGACATGTTCCGTTAGATCAGTCCTGACCACAGAAGTACTGGTCAGAGAATCATATCTAAGCTATAAGGTTACTGACAGACACAACAATAGGTGTGGATGATCATGCTGAAAAAAAAAGACTCAATCTGCCATTTTCAGCTTTGCTGTTTAACGTGAAGTCAGAGGAAACATAAGATGCAAGAAGCTATTTTATCAAAGTCCTCTTAGCCTTCTGGGAAACAGTGAAGGAACAGTCTATACTCTAAAAGGGAAAAACAGAAAATACTGTTTCAGTGATGCTAACAGGGCTTTTTAATAAATGGAAAACACTAAAAATATAAAAGTATATTAAAGCCCAAAACAGATTTCTTTACAAACTTATTCCAATTATTTTTTTTCCATGTTTATAAAACTTCTCTAATATAACATTTTAATGTGCCTAGATTAAATTGCACACAAGACTCACATCCATTGATCTTTACTTCAAAAGCAAAAATAAAAGTACTGAATGAAGAATAAAATGAAACAAAAAGTCGGACACTGACCATGAAGTAGTTTGGGTCGTTGTCTGGTGTGGCGTTACTAGTGGCAGCAGCAGAACAGACTCTGCCCCAGTCGCTGGACCTCAGCTCCACTAATTTTAGTAGCATCTGTCTCACGTCCCTGAGGACAACAAATAAAAAGTTTTAGTCAGGAGGTACTGCCCTACAGGACTGATGATCTTCTTTCCAGCTGCTGACTGATGCACAACAACTATAGAACTGAGATCACCTAAAATTATTTACACAAACTATTTACTCTGTTAAATGGGTTGGGTTTGGGATGACTGCTTTCTAAAAAGATTTTTTCCACACAAGAATACTTCAAGGTAAAGATTTGGATATGATATATACACACCTACTGCATGTAGCATCCAGGAGAATTGTCTCAATTCTTTGGACCAGTTCATCCATGTGTGGCCTCCCACTTGCTTTCCAGGCGTCATCCAGGATTGAACCGGTCAACTACAGAACAAAAACATGCTTATCTCCTCTTGAAATGCAACATAAAACTACATGAGAGGATGTGTTTAGTGATTCATCCTCCATGATGATCATCTCTACCTCTAAGGTTATTTGTTATAGAGACAGAAAAGCAGAGTAAAAAGGTCAACAACCAGATGCAATTTAAGTTTCTCTGAACAAAATGTTCAAAGGTGGATACAATTAAGCTACCAGACATACAGACTGTTTCTCCAAATAATTGTTCAGGAATGGGTTGCTCTCCAGAACTCAGTGAACTCCAGGGTGGCTTAAGAAGATGCTACCTGTGCAAATAGTCCTTTCATAAAATGTCCTTGCTTCTAAGTACCGGTATTCCACCTTCCACTATCGATGGTGAAATAAAGGGGAAACAATTGGGAATAACAGCGACTCAACAACTTATCCAGTGATTGACCATAAATCCCTGCAGACCTCCAAATTTCATGTGGCCTTCCCATTAGCTCTGGAATAGTGCATGTTAAGCTTCTTGCGATGGATTTTAGTGGCTGCAAACAAATGGCTGGCGTGTGAGGCTCAGGAGGTAAAGGTTCTTCTTGTAACCTAATATCTAGTGTTGAAACAATTAAACGGATTGATGATTAAAATAATTGTCAACTAATTTAGTCCCGGTAATCGATTAATTATTAAATGGAGTATAGAGACTGTAAAACAGGCCTTTACCTGACAGAGCAACCCATTTAAAGCTATAATTGTATCAAAATTGTAAGAAAAAAATACATAAACATTTTGCATTTAAGATAAAATATGAATGATTTGCAAAATAATTGTTAGTTGCAGCCCTACTAATATCTTTATTTCACCTTTTTCCTTTCCTTCATTCCTGCTCAGGAACTGGGGATGGAAATAAGCCAAACGGCTAGAATCTAGATAAGTAACCCAACAATAAAAATGCAACAGCAAAAACACTTGATTACAAAACCTTTAGTAGCTTGACAGCACAGATGAGGTTTGCGTCCACAGGGTGTGAAAGCAGACTCTCCAGCAGGTCTTTAAGAGCCAAGAGGAGAATTTCTGCTCTGTTTGGAGGCGCTTTTCCACTTTTTATCTAGACAAGAAACAAGGTTTAGACACCAGATGAGTTCACTTCTGTTATATCAAAAACAAGATTGTCCCTTTACATCTAGAATAGAGCAAAATAAGAACATTTAAACATGTTACTAACACAAAGGATCTGCTTTCTAAAGTGAAGCACTTCGTTTTACAATCAGAAATACAAATTAAACATGATCCCAAATCAATTACCAATTAAAGATCAGGTTTCAAATAAATCAGGTCAATGTTCAATTTTTCTGAGTTTATAAATAAAAATTTGAAATTTTTGCATTTTATTACGTTCGGTTATTAGTGACATTATAGATTACATCTGTTTTTTAATGGATATTATCACTTTTCAAACATGTCAGTGTTGACATGTTTACAATAAATACCAAGTTTCTGCGGTTTAAAGTCCCTTCAATTAAAGGCACACTATGCAACATTTTTCAGTTAATTAATGTGTTCCATAACGTTTTGGATGATGAAATGAGTCATTTCAGGTTGAACAAAGGTATTCTCGGCCGCCCTGGTGGTCTGTGAGGGAAATACCGCACTTGCAATTGCAGGAGCACCGACCCGCACCCACAGGCTCAGAAGTCTCGCGAGAGTCAGTCTTGCTTTACGTCAAGAACTGCTACACCCCCCCCAGTTAAAAGCATGCTCGTTGCTAGCACAGTGGCGATCTTTGTGCAGTGCTGCTTTCACACCGGACGCAGCAAAATCGCGTCTGCTGCTTCCTTTTTACTGCTTGTACCAGTTAGTTCTGACGCGCGGCTGAAGCAGATTTGCTGCTCTGGCTGCATGGTGCAAAAGTGTGTCTGGAAAATCAACACCGGTTGCATAGTGTACCTTTAAAAGCCATTGACCACAGGCTGCTGATCTCTGCTGGTCAGCTGGCCTAAACACCTTTTTTCTTCAAATTATAACCAAAGGGGAAAAAACAAAGGCTGGCTTTATGAAAATACCTCTGGTTTTAAAATCACAGAGTGTGATGTAAAGCAAATGAGCATCATGAAGTGAGTATAACTGCTATAAGTGTAGGTGAAAAAAAAAATCATTAAAAGGCTAATGTTTTGAATTTTTTTTTTTAATAATAAAATCATTGTTTTGTTTTTTTGTTTAATAAAAAAATGCATGTTTTAAAGCTTTTTTTGTTTGTAAATTTGGATATCGCATCAAGAGAATTTCATAGGACTAATTGCCAGGAAAACTATCAGAAACCTTGGTCCATTAAAAAGGCCCATTACCAACAACATAGTGCATTTTTTTAAAAGATCCCAAATTACAGAGAAGCGCTCTTACCTCCAAATTTAAATAGAGCTCTCCCAGAAATAACACAAAGGAGTGAAATTTCTTCTGAACCTCCGGGTTTCCTCGAACAGCTACATTTCTTTGCTCGTACTCTAATTGACATCTACAACAGAAAAGCAAACATCTATATTAATGGTGTAAACAATTACAAATCCTACGCCATGCTATGACCTGCTGTGTGTTACTAAAATCATTTCTAGTAAAACCATCTTCAAAATATTTTATGGTTAAAAGAAGCATATAAAATTAAATCTCAAGATCATATTTAAATTCAATTTTGAGCAGTTTAAATTAGTATAAAACCAGGAATAAGTTTACCGCTGCAAAAGCAACCGGCGAAAGTTGCCACTTTGTGGGCTGAGGGTGAGGTGATGGGACAAGTAATTACAAAGTCTGGCTCCGGTGTAGGCGAAGTTCGGGATTGCAGTAGACTGGAAAAATAAAAAAACAGGTCAGTTTTAACAAATATATGGTGAAAAATATCTTAACCCTTTATTGGGTACTCACTCAGATCCTTTTAAATCTAATTATTAAGCTAAGAGTTTTTACTGGAGGAAAGGAAAATCCCAAATTACTTTTGCAACATTGAATAATTTTTTGATGAAAAAATAAAAATCAAGGTCAATGTAATTTCCTAATATGTTAAAAATAAAAGTGCCTCTACTGTAAAATAAATTCATTAAAAACAGAGTAACTTTTTGTTACAACCTTAGATGACTGAAATGCGGATTATAGGCACTTAGATGTTTTACTTTTTAACTTACTTTATTAGTTTTTTGAACTAAACTTTTTGAAATTTTCGACTTTTTTTACTTCACTTCTTAAGTGGATAACATACACTGATCTCTATTTATTTACTGGATTACTGATAGACCCCAAAAAAACAAAAAAAACCTGAAGTCACCTGCCACCATCTGGGTAACCCCCACTTTCACAGAGTCATGCCAAAAAAATGCCTGTAATGTAATGTAATTAATAAAACAATGTAATCATTACATATATATTACATGTACATCAATTTGCCAATTTTGGCACATCATCAGATAGTGTGTGCGTATCATATTCTTAACATCTGACTATAGTATTACTATGCTCCATTGACTAACATTGTTGTGATGGATTTGTATAATACGTTATATTAGATGATTTATAGTCTTCATGGACTTCATACTGACTATGCAATGTTATGTGCGTATTTTTTACCTTAAATAAATACTAATCTACTAATGTTATGAAAGAGCAAGTGTGTGTCAAAGTAATTTCTTAATCTTTATTTTAAAAGTCTTAAGCCCCCCTGAAAATGACATAATCATTCTTCGATGCTGTAGCGCATGTATTATACGCATTCCGAACAGTCTAACTAGGGAGTACCAAAATGGCGGCCGGTTACTTCGGAGCACCGTGTACTACTAAATGCCAGGCAGCAATCCAGTGAATAAATAGAGATCAGTGGCAACATATCATTCAAGGATTCATTTAATTGGTCAAATGCCAAAATGACACGTACTGCCACGTAGTAGAATCTTTGCAGAATGGTTGGATATAAATTTTGAGCTTCTAGACTTTACTGACTCCATTTACAAGTTCTCCTACCTTTAAATCATGGAGGGGTCTAAAGCTGTCATCATAGGTGGAGTTTTTAGTTAATTGCCTTAAAATAAGATCTTAAAATAAGAAGAAATTGTTCATCTTCTTAAACGTTGACCTTAAGACGAAGTGCGTTTTTGCTTTCACCATAGCTGTTTATAATAAGTTTAACAATCATTGGATACCACTGATTAAGAACACTTTTCAATTATTTAAAAAGTGAAAACAAAAAAGAAAGATGTTTTTTTCCAAACCTGTGTAAAGATCAGCTCCACTAGTTCCTTTAAAAGCTCTTCTGTAGTGACCCAGCAGTTAAGCATGCCGGTAATGTTTTCAACGTCAAAATCAAAGGAGCCAGGAGAGGAGCTCAGGTGATCGAGGAAATCTGTGACTGTATCAGCCAAGGAGGACTCGCTGTAATAGCTTTCACTATCATCATAATATGCAGGCTCCTACACAAAAAAGACATACATTGTAATAATAAACAAATGTAAGAGAAATCTTTTTGAGAAAAATTTAAAGGAAAAACTTTCTCTCACTTCATATGAGCTCATTCCAAAGGGGACAAACTCTGGAGCACTTGCTGAAAGCGTTGATGTCCTGACCACTGAGTCCATTGAGGCATGGCTGGCGCTAACACTCTGTAGAGGGCTGCCGAGCGGTTGATGATCTGAAAGAAGAAAAAAATCTAATTAGAAGAAACGGTTTGATACAATGGTGCTACTAGTGGTTTTCCTGAAATTAGGATGAAAGGAAAAATGTTACTTGCTGAACAATAAAACAGGAAAGCAAAGCTTCACACTTTTATAAGTCTTTAAGTTCCATACATGCAAATACGTTTAGAGCAACATACATTCTTCTCAGAATCAGAAAGAATAAAGAAATTAGGAGGAAAATGTGTACGTTTCAGGTTCAGCATAAGGGAAGTTAAATACAAGACTTTTTAATGCCACTTAAAATAAAAATGTAAGACCGACTTTACAAGAAAAACCTGCTAGCGACAAATTTACCCCAAATGTTTAACATAAACCATTACTTTCTGGCCCAGAAGATATGTTTCAAACTTTGAAAAAATGTCCATATAGGAAGAAAGCTAAAAACAAACAAATAACAGATATATTTTAACAACTACTGAACTGAATTCACTAACTTTGTTTTGTTCCCTACTCAATCCCTCTACTTCCATTGTCGGCATACCGCCAAACATTATCTTGAGATTTAGGTCTACTGGAGTTGTTGGTGATGTGAGAGATGCTGTGGAGGCGTTGCAGAGACAAGGGTGGAACAGAACGAGAAATAGATGCTGCTTCTCCATAACCTGATTTTGACGCTTTGAGTTTCATGCTTCGCACATGTATCTCCACTGCCTTGATTCCCATCGTGCTTCATCTACATTCCCTGGTAGTGGTTTTAGCCATGTAGAAAACTCTTGGATGTATAGCCTATTTTTCTTTTTAATTTAAACTTCCCCATGTTGTCCAGATAAAAAGTTACTGGCACATCTTTTTTATTGGTTTATTGGGACGGAACCTATACTGGTTACAGTGAGCGGTTCTGTAAATGTAAGAAAAACACTGTCAATTATTTAATTGTTTGATATGGATTACAAAAATAAAATCCTATTAATGATGCGAAAAAATGTTAAGACCTATGAAAGACTGAATTAAGACATTTTTAATACCAATTAAGGCCTTGATTTTATATTGAAGAATGCAATGCCTTTTAAAACTTTTTAAGGATCTGTAGGAACCCTGAGGTTTAATAATGGATCTTTCTACATTACCTGAGCGAACTCACTTAATGGAGTTAATGGAGAAATTGAGAAAGCTCAAAGAATTACCTTTTCTGAACTAAAGATTTAGTTATTCGCAAAATAAGCTTTATCTGTGGAAACTTCTTCATATCTGTGTTTCCTTAGGTCAACCACCTTCTGGCATCTGCAAACAGGTATTCCAGCTCAGGCTGATTCCACAACAGTCCCCAGTTTTAATGTTTTTGTTAGTTCAACAGGTGAGAAATTGCTACACTTCTTAGTTCTGATCGATTCTAGGGTGGTTCCTTCATGTTTGTGTCAAACACAAACACTAGAAATTAGATGATTGACACTAGAAATTAGATGATCCTGTTTGTTAACTAATGGGAAGGCCTTTGACACATCCACAGAACAGCTACATAAATAAAAACCCTGTTACAGCATTGCCTTATAATCATAAATAATCGTATTTCTGGATTTTTTTAAGTTTTCCCTTGTAAAACATTAGCAAAATACACAAGACTTACAAAATATTTAAAATCTGGATAATTTGTTTTTTTTTAATCAACAATTTGTAATGAAGAGGAGCGATCTACCGCAGGGACTGGGTGAAAAATGTGCATTTTTAAAAGAAACGCTAAAATATTTTAAACATAAAGTGATCTATAATAAACAAATAAAGACCTTACACCGGAAGCCTCACGTCAAAGAACACACTGTTTGTTGTTGATTTTGAGGAATATATTGTCACTTTGAACCAAAATCATGTGCTGAGCATTTTCAACATAGCATAGTTACAAGCAGCAAAGGCCTCACATTTTCAGCTTTGCAAGCAGTCTCACTGTCCCCACCTTATTAAGCAGTGGCGACAGCTGAGCTTTTATTAGCTGCAGCATTAGCAACCATGTGATAACAGAACATTTCGCAACTCCAAACTAAAAGGTCAAATATGACAGCTTCGGGTTAAGGTCAAATAAATCACTGATAAATCAAGAACGATCAAAATCTGTTTGTTTACACTGTGGGAACAACTCTGTCCTCAATGGTGTGTTCCAAAGTGGGAAATCGAATCTGAAAGTAGCTAAATTAGCCATGTTAGCTCCCACCTCCACTGGGTAATCCAGCAGCCGAGTTGATGCTGCTCTCGGGGAAAGGATGGATGGTTCGCGGCTGTCTCAGCGGTTCTCTTGGGTTGAACACCGCGGTTTTAGCTTCAGCGTCTTTGGCGTTAACTGCTAGCCCAGGATCCATTGATGGTCCGCGGGTTCTCCCTGCTCCAGGAGCTCGGTCAAAATGATCGTTCATGACAGCTTGTTAAGTATCAGAGCGGCATCTGAGGAACAAATATCGGCTTGACTGTTTGTTTTTTTGTGCCTTTAAGTGTTAAACTTTATTTGTTATCATAGTATGAACCGTTCTATTCCCCTTTCATAGTGGCCGTTTCCCGCTAGCCTCGTATATGTGTAAGCTAGCAGCATAACTTTTGGAGCTACTTCCTTCCCCAACAAACTTGGTGGCGAAACAATTATCGATCAGAAAGATAATGTCCCCCTCTAGTGGCGTGGAGTGGAAGCTCGGGGACAACCAGAAGCAATGTTTTTCGATGGAAATTTAATATTGAAATGTCTGAAATTTGATTAAAGATAACGAAACAATATAAAAATAGTGGTAAAAAATGTCTGACTTTTGAAGTTTGTTGATATTTTAATTGCAATTTAATATGAATTGCAGGTAGTTTAGTTTACTTCAAGCAACAAACATAGAAACTATTAAGCCAACTAGAAAGGTTGTCTTCCCATTCATCGACCAAACTTTAGTTATATAAAATGTTCTTATTATGATAAATTACATAATATTTCCCTGAGATTTATTTGTTGGTGTTTTTTAAGCTATTATTAGCTATTATCTGTAGCTTGCATGTTTTTCATTTTATTTTTAATACAAATTATGTTTTTACTTTGTACATTTTCCTTTACGAGGGTATGCCCTTTTTGGAAAACACTACAATGTTTTTATTTCCTGAGATTTGTTTTTGTAGTCTATTTTGAATTTTGTTCTTCATTTTTTTTTTTATCTTGCATGTATCTATTTGAGGGATTGTTCTAGAGCAGTGTTTTTCAACCCTGATCCTTAAGGCACCCTGCTCTGCATGTTTTGGATGTTTCTGAGCTTCAGCACACTTGATTCAGATGATTGAAGTTCAGCAAAGCCTGATAATCTGCTATCAATTGATAACAGGTGTGTGAAAGCTGGGAAACATCTAAAACATCTAGGGCAGTCTGCCTTGAGGACCAGGATTGAAAAACACTGTTCTAGAGTCAACGTTAAAATGCAGGCAAATATGTACTGTTGCCACATGCTTATCCAGCAGGAGCGAGTCTTCCAAAGTCAACGACTCTAAGCGATCGGCTGGTTTTCCTCAGATAAAAAAACGTTTTAGCAATCTGACTGTAGGATCTGATTAATCGTCTCTTTAAAGTGCCTGTGATGACACGTTGGGAATTGGAGCTATATAAACAAAATGAATTTAAACTGAATTGAATTTATTATATAGTTTACTATATTCTACATTTTAAACCATTACAATCCATTTTCTGTATGAATTCTCGTATTTCTTTTAGGAGTTATGATGCAATCTTATCATTGTCATAATGTAAATCTTGTCTGAGTTATTTTGGATGCACTGAATATAGGATACCCATCATGATTTTAAGCACAAAGCAAATAATTTTGGATATCCAGTATTAAATCCATTTTCTTAGACATATGTTAAATTTCTATTTTTAAATGTGCACCTGATGGGCTGCACATAAGGCAGCAGATATGAAAATTCTGAATCTAAATCTGTAATACTGTTAAGTAAATAATCAAAGAAAATTATTTGGAGCATTGTCAGATTCATTTTCTTCTTAGCCTCTATGTCTATTTCTGATTAATGAAACATGATAAAACGAGACAGGCATCTCCTAGAAATATGAAAATAACTGACAATAGTATTCCAAATGGTGGCATCGCAGAAACCAAACCCTTCTTATAAGTACCAACCATCTTTTTGCATGTTTCCACTGCTATATTGAAAAAATATATTTGGTGATGCACTCCAAGTCTTTGTGCTAGAAAGACTACTTTGTCATCACTGAAATCTTTAGCTCCCTCAATGGATTCTCTAACAGATGCAAGTCAAGACTCTGGCTACAATTGGTTCATGCCAAACATGCCCACTATTATTATTTACTACAAATTATTTAGCTTTAGACTTATATGTCCATAAAACATTATTTAAGACATCTTGGTCTTTGTCTTTCTCCAGATGTTGCTTGTTTTAACTCTTAACAGTGTTTACCAGACATATAACCACCATCAACCTTATTAATAAAAGATCTCAGAAAGTTATTTTGCTGTTCATCACTAACCCAACTGTTAGGACACCAAACCAAATGTTCATTTAAGGAATCTAAAAAAAAAAAAATAGTAAGCTTAGATCAAGTGAATGTTCCGTTTGATTAGAATTAATTATTTCAAATTAATCTCATTGGAGTATGTTGTTTAATTACTATATGATGGGTTAATCTGCCATACATGTTACAACAACACACAGTAACTAAAGGTTTTCATTAATTTCTACATTAAAAGATACATCTTAACCTGTGTTGATTTTATTTGAGTTATTTTATAAACTAACACATTTTTAAAGCTAAGATTTTAAAAGAACAAATTACAATATATATCTGTACCTTACTAATTATTTATAAACTAATATGAATTGAATGTTCTTGCCACAGCATAGCAGTTGATATGTCTAAATCCTTCTAAGCCCAATAATCTTAAAAACTTGTGTGGTGTATCTGCAAAAAGAAAAAAAGGATATAGCTGCCATAAACCGCTTGTGTTTTACATAAATGTTTTTTTTATTCTATGTTTTCTTCAACAAAGGAAGTTACACTTTTTTCAATATATGCAACTTTTTGTAAGTTTAATTTAGAATTTAGGAAATTACTTTCAAGCATTTGTGAATCTGTGAATTCGTTGCACCATATATATTTTCCAGCATTTTTTTTTTTTTGTCATTACACTGACACAAGAACAGAGCAATGAACTCTGTGCATTTATCCCATCCCCTTGGGGAGCAGTGGGCTGCCATTGTGCGGTAGCACTGTGGGGTTAAGCATCTTGCTCAGAGAGCCTCAAAACCTCAGGATTCCAAGCTCTATGCCCTAACCACTAGGCCACCACATCTCAAAGCAGCCATTGGAGTGGAGGGTCTTGCCTAAGGACACACACTGGCAGCTCATTCCCCACAGCTGGGATACGAACCCAGGCTTTTTGATTGAAGGACGGGCGACTGATAAATTACAACTTGAGCCAGAACCCCTGTTCATATATATATATATATATATATATATATATATATATATATATATATATATATATATATATATATATATATATATCTACAGTATTTCTTTTACTCTGTAACATTTGTGTTTTTATTGTCTCAACAGGAAATTCTAAAATATTTTCAGAACAAAAAAAATTTTTTCCATCACATAATAAATACTTTTCAAATAAAAACACCTCATGCCACAACTCTTTTAGTAGCAGTCTTCTCCAAACATGTGTTACACCAGACATCTTAGCGTAAGCATTCATTAGTTGTTTTTGGCCTCCAGGCATTTTCCACTTGTTTCCCAAAAGCTGGATCGCATTATGCCACAGAAAATTCCTGAGCTAGAAATTCAGAGACCCGTTCTGATAAAAGATTACTCCACCTATTTTGTATTATTGCTGTTTTTCCTAGCATCTTGGATGGAGTTCAGACATTTATTTTGGAATGTGAAGATGAGGAACGAGTAAGGTTTCTGTGTGTGCATGTGTATGGATGAGGTTCTCCTTGGCTGCTAATTCACTTCATCATTAACTGCTCCTATTTTAGATTTTCCCCAGCAACACTAAGCTGTTTTAACATTTTATGAAAAACATAGAACAAGAAAATGAAAATCATAAAACAAAAAATACAATATATAAAAAATAAATGCAAAACATAAGACACTGAAGGAAAAGAGAACAAATCCAATATACTTTCTGAACTTTTCATGAATTTCTGATTTGTAAATAAACAAACTTGAGCTGAGGAAATTTCTGGGAAAAATTCTATTTGTGAAAAAAGTAGTAACTTGCCCTCTTGCCGATTTCTTCAGTTTGTTCCACACCTAGATGTTTCCAATCATTAGGCAAACTGTGATGTATCTCAAGAATGACTTACAGGAAATGCAATATCCAATTCCTAATTATATCAACCATTAAGAGACATCAGCAATTCAACCCAAGCAGCCCCAGTGTGGCTTGAATGTAATTAACAACAGGCCTGATTTGTACAACAGGCAAGGAAGAACAAATATCCCAGTTATGAGGAGGAGATGCACAATTTTTCCAGGTTCTTTTGATATCTTTTTTTTTTTTTTTTTTTTTTTTTTTTTTCTTTTTTTTTTATAAAAAGGCCACAATAATTTTTCAAGTATTGTAATTTCTTAGACTCACTTTAATGATATACAGATTATCTGCCTTTGCCTTTACTTCGTGCACACCTGTGTTGATTTTTTTCTTTAATAATATTATTCCATTCATGTGATTTTTGAAGATCCAAGCATATTTGCATGCACACAGAATATCTCTCCACTTTCTGGGATTGTATCATTTTTGCATGTAACTCTGCATCTGACTCTCAGGAGTACAAAGAAACAGGATAAAACTGCTGCCTCCATTGTGGTCAGATTTAGAAAATTGCTTTGCACATGCATAACTTCCAATCGTTAATTTGTGTAGTTTCGTCATTTGAATAAAATCAGCATATTGATGGAGACACACATGCACAATGTTTGCATACGCTGGCTGCAAAATTACAAACATAGATCACTTTGCACCTTCGTTGAGGATCTGCTCTGAGAGTAAAAACATTTTTGCACCTATTGTAAGGAAAACAAAATTACTTAAGAACAGGCCCTTGGAGTGTCCCCCACTGGACACCACAAAAGACATGGTCAAATGTCTTCTCCAGGTCCAAGAAACACATGTGCAGTGGTTGGTAAACTCCAATGAAGCCTTTAGTACCCTATAGATGGTTTAGAGCTGGTTCACTGTTCCACTACCAGGATAAAAAACTCATTGTTCCGCCTGAAGGTAGCATTAGAGCCAGCTAATTGTCTAATCTTAGCTAGGGTGAAGGTTGGACAATCAGCTGGACTCTCATCTCCAGCACCCTAGCATTGGCCTTCCCAGGAGGGCTAAGAAGTGTGATCCCTTGTAGTTGGAACACACTCTCCAGTCCAGTTGTTGTGGAGACGGACCACTTAATTTCCTTGTCCAGGAAAATCGTCCCTGATTGCCAAGTAATGTTGAAGAGTAATGTCAACCATACCAGCCTAACATCATCCAAGGATCTAAGGTACTCAGGAGGACAGATCTCATTCATCCCTGGAGCCTTTATACCAGGCATCCCCAAAGTCGGTCCTCGAGGGCCGCTGTCTTACAGGTTTTAGAGGTTTCCTTGCTCCAGCACAGCTGATTTTAATGGAAAACTCATTAACAGGCTTTTGCTCAACTGTTTTCATCATAATCAGCTGCACTAAAGCAGGGAAACCTCTAAAACTTGCAGGACAGCGTCCCTCAAGGACCGCCTTTGGGGATGCCTGTTTTATACCATGGAGTTTGTTGACTGCCTCGGTGAACCAGCAAATGTGATTAACAAGTCAAACTGTGAGAACCCAGTCTATGCTTCCTCGAGGGAAGGTGTGTCAGCCGGGTTGAGGAGATCCTCAAAGTAATCCTTCCACCTTCTGATAATGTCTTCAGTCAAGAAAAGCAGCTCCCATAAACAGTGTTAGTGAAGCACTGCTTCCCCCTCTTGAGGCATTGCCAGAAGAGGCTGTCCAATAGTCTTCCTCCATGGTCTCTCCAACCTCCTTCCAGGCCCAGAGTTTGCCTCTGAAACAAGGTTTGCCACCTGTCCCTTAAAATATGGAATCATCCTTGAGTTAGCAGTTCAGCATTGCATACCGTATTGAACCAATAAGGGACAAGATTTGTCCCGTATTTTCAAAAATGTCCCATACACATGTGTGTCAAACTCACATCTACACTAAATCTATGAAAAATAAAAATAAATAAATAAATAAATACATTTCTGTAATTGCTTAAGGTAGCTAAGTTGTCCTGGCAGGTACTATGTAGGACATCTTCCATACTCCTCAGCATTGCTTCAACTGCTGATACAGACTCCTTTGAAACGCTTTCAAAAGCCTAGACATGAGTGGGAAGAAGCAAACCTCTGACTGTCAGTGGGGATGAAGACGAGGAAAATTACAAAAGATGTCAGGCTCTCAGTGAGTGTTTACAGTGATTGACCATTTGTGGCTCAGGATTCAGCCGGATAGAAACACACACGAACCCATAAGAACACAGAACCTCAAACATCAGTCCTTCATACCCTGACTGTCTCCTGAGAAATATATGGTAGGAATTATTATATTTTATTGTGGTTCTGTTAAATGCCTAAATGGTTTTAATAATAATTCCTTTATTTATTCTGTAAATTACAGTAGATAATAAAGGAAATTATCTAAAGAGCAAATAATGCTGAGAATAAAATATACATACAAATATTGAGGGGCACGTAGGCCTATTAGTTGGAGCAGTGCACTTGTGCTCTGATAGGATTGCTATTACCCGGTTCGATCCCCACAGCCTCCACTCTGGGTCTCTGAGCAAGACCCTTAACCCCACACTGCCCCACATAGTGAGAGCCCACTGCACCCCAATGGGATGAGTTAAATAGAGAGGTAAATTTCTCCAGTGTGAGATGAATTAAGTTAAATTTTTTTTTATTATTATAATCATATACATGCAACTAATATTGCTTATATTAGGCATTTTGGTGTTTTAAATTTTTTTCAACTTTTAAATATAACGCTAGTTAACTTTTAACTATTGCAGTGCAGGTGCATTGTGCCTGATGTGGGCCAAGTGGATCAATGGAGGGATTCAGCACGAAGGAAGTTTGGTTGGATACTGAAGTTGTGTATAAAGTTTCTGAATTTTACAATCCAAACAAGAAATATCAGGCACTAGACAGAAAAAAGTCCCTATGGACTTTTGAATAAAATCAACCCACCAACCTGTCGAACTTAACTAAAGAAAACAAAAATACACAACAAAAACACAAGAGTTATTGGAGTTTGAAATGGTATATTTATGAGCACGGATAATGAGTTTTGCCTGACAGAGTGTGAACCCACCTTAACTACTTTTCTCTCGATTGGCAGCTGGGCTATCCTGGTCGCAGTGTTTGTGACCTTTTGCAGTTGCCAGCATAGCAACTGCACAGCCAGGCAAACTGAGCCTCTGTCTCACCAAAATGTCATTATGATTATATATTGGAAATAAAGACTCTTGATTTTCTTGGACTCTGATGAAACATATTTTGAAGTCTTTGCTTTATTGGGGTACAGTCTCCAACAAAACCATACAGATTGTTCTTAATGGTGGATTTAAATATAATATAAGCCCCAAAATCACCCTCAACCTAGGGAGTGTTACAATCTTGGTCTGGCTCTGGTAAAACGAATTAAAAAGTAAGTTGATATCAGACACATATTTGTATTCTTCAAAGATTAAGAGAAATATACTAAAAACGTTCTTTGATGTCCATTGTTCTATTCACAGGCTGGTGTGGAGGAATTTCAGAATGAAGTTGTGTGTCTATCCTTCCATGTCTCTTTCCCCCACTTCCTCTCCTAATCCTTTTTTTACTGCCTGTCCAGAGATAGATGCTCTAAAAGGCAGGATAAGAGAACATGAGGCCCGGAAGCCTGTGGTGTTAATGTTCCCTGCACAGTCTTTTCATCTGCCATCAAGACAGCTGTCATTGATTAGTGCATTTGTAAATGATTGCTGAAGGAAGGGGCAGTCAGATGCAGGCCATATATCTCCTTCTTCCCTTAAACATGCTCAGACCCTCATGCACAAACCTATTTGCAGTGGGACTGCAGATAATCATGACAAAGCTAATTTTATATTTACTTTGTTTATTTTAAGAAGGTGCTTTCCTGTAGCTGATATCTATCAATCCTGCAATCAGAAATTGTTGCCGCTCCCATAGCAATGGCATGATATTAGGAAATGATGTCAGTATCTGCCAGTCCCACCAGAGAAGCTGCCTCCCTGAGATTTTGTTGTGGTTTTTTTCCCTGTTTGTTTGGGAATTAATCATTAGCAGAATGGTTCCCACATGGAGGATCTGGCCAAGCATTAATGGCAGCTATTTGTCCCTCCCAACCTCAGAGTAAGCCAGATAAGATTGAGACCTACCATGACCTGAATGCTTGCCAGGATTTCTCAGGACATGTGCTGATACTTTGCTGTTTTTCCTGTGCCCTTTGTTTGAGAAGAAATAAAGCTCCACACATGACGGAACGAAGGAGAATGGTAGTTTTATTTAATGATAGAGATCCTAAAAAAAAGTAGAATGCAGAAGATTGCTGGTGTTTTTTTTCAGTTAAATACCTCACAAAAATAAATAAGTCATCAAAATTCAGCCAAAACGCAGTGGTTAACTAACAAACAATTACTTTATATGTGCTTTCATAATATGTCATGCTGTCAGGATAATCAGGATAGTCACGATATTACCTAAACCTTTCCCATTTTCTGCCAGTCAAATGTCTCTGCTTCTTTTGAAAATTTAGATGATAGATAACACATTTAGATACATCTAGCTTGGGTAGCATCTTCTGTATTGTCCACATTATACCTGTACTCCAGCTTCAAACTGTTTGGCACAGTAAAAAAATATAGATTACCTCTGCTTTTGGTGCCGCGCAAAACTCAGCACCTTTCATCAAAAGGAAATAAGCTCAACCAATTCAGAGTTCATTTCATGTAACAGTGTTAGTGCCTTTTTCTTTCCCAAATGTGAGATTTTTCAATGCATGTCTTAATGTCATGGCTGCCAGGTATTGAAAACCTCCTGTGTCCAGTGCTCTAGATAGCTGCTTCCAATCCAGTTGGGCTTCTTGATTCACACCATAATTGGGAGGAAGTGGGTTGCCGTTTTCTTCCTGCGGGTTTTCATCCCCTTCAGCGGCTTCCCTTGAACATTCAGCCCCACGAACATTTGCCGCTTCTTGTTCTTCCACTTAGCCGAAGCGTACGTGTTGTAGCCGTTCTCCTCGATGCGCTCCTTCAGCTTGCAGTCAACACTAAACACTCTCTGTGAAAAAACAACAAACATATTTTTGTATGAAACATGTGCGCTTATTTTGCAGTGAGTATCAGCTTGTGTAATGTATTTTTTTTCTTATGTAATAGAATTCTCCTTAGCGGGTGTGTTTTCTAAGTGAAGTTCTGTGTTTTATGCATTAGTGGTATTTACATTCTGAAGGAAAATGTCACATTTCAATCAGTATACAAATAGCTGTCAAAGACTAAAAACTAAAAGACTGCATATTTTAGCTCATTTGATCGATAAGGACAACAGAAGATGCTCCTATCCATGGGATACTTAACATACAATAGATAATGACAGTCTAAACCTGCGTTTGTCAACCCTGGTCCTCAAGGTGCACTGCCCTGCCTATTTAAGATGTGGCTCTGCTTTAACAGTCCCAAATCAGATCATTGCAGTTTAGCAAAGCCTGTTAATGTGCTATCAATTGATGTCAGGTGTGTGAAAGATGGGAAACATCCAAGACACAGAGGGCAGTGTCTCTTAAGGGAACCAGGTTTTAGAAAACACTGATCTACACCTTTACAAGGGACTGTTATGTCTGATGTTTTTGTTGTTTTCTCAGCCAAACATCAATAGTACTACAGAAAATCAGTATTACAAATAACTACATGTTGGCTTAAAACTTATGTTTCTAAATGGTGTTATTATTTCATTTGCGGAAATAGTGTGTATAACATTTAGATGTAAAGTTATATTTCAATTTCCAACATGCTTCTTCTCACTGGTTCTTTCTCACTGGCCAAATCAGGATCCTGACTTAAAGGTAAAATGGAGGATGTTCTTTTTCCAGGTGGATCATCAAAACTGGTGGTCCTCCTAATTTTCAATCATTCTGGTGATATGTTTACGTAAGGTCGTCCTACGTGCTCGTCCCCATTTCCACTTACCGGTGGAGTCTGACATAGTGAAAAATTGCAAATCTTTTAAAAAAGTAAGCTCGTATGAGCGATGCAAACAGCAACTTTTAAACAGAGCTCACACATGATTAATACACTTTTTCTCTCCGGGACGGGTACAGGGTTGTGCATGCACATTTAATTTTTTTTAAAGTGGAGAGGGTGGGTATTTTGAAAAATTCGTGAAATCCTCCACTATACCTTTAATTTCCTGAGTTCAAAAGTAATTTGCAGTCTGGACAGAAAGAGGAGAAACTCCATTCTGATTTCAGCTAGGAGAGATTGCTGCACAAGGACAGTTGCCTGGTTCAGCCAGTAGCACGACCAACTGCTCATGAGGACCAGTAACAATAATACACACTTTCATGTCATCTCTAAAAGTCTCCTATAACACCAGAAATAAAATCCAGATTAATTGCTGTAAACATCTTTGGAGATTTTTTTTTTAAAGATGGCAACACCAAAGTAAAAAAAAAACAACAACCTGCTGTAACATAGGACTCTTTTCTGTATAGAAGTAATTGCTGTGGGAGAAAGACTTCAAGCCGAAAAATTAAAGGACATTCGAAGCTTATATAAAGGGAATAGCATATTGTAAAGTTTCTGCAAGTTGGCTTTTAATTCAAGTTACATCCGGGAGTTACACATCAAGCTAAACTTATTACAGAGGATTCATTATTTTGTTCTCCCAAGGAATTTAGACAACCTTCTTAACTCTGGTTCTCACTAGTTGAGGGTAGATATACAAGAAATTCTGTTAGTAATGCTAAAACTGCTACCATTACATGCTATATCATCTCTATTACCAGTTAGTCCCAATAATTTCCTTTTGTCCAAAAATAGGCAGTTCTCAATAGGTTATTTATGACCAGCCTGCTTAAGGCTATTGATTACCTAAGATAAATCAGAAGATTTACCAGTATTTAAGAATGCCAGTTAACCTGGGCTTCATTAGAGGAAGAGAAACCAATGAAATAGGTGTCTATGGGTTGAAGCTTCACAAAACTAGCCATCAGAAATTGTGTATAAAATCTCTGATTGATTAATCCTAACCAATTGCTTGAGCTTTTTCTTAGGAACATAGCTCTGCTTAGAAAACAGAAATTATTTTAACAGCTTTATTGAGTGTGCTGATTCTAGTAATCAAACATGCTCAATTTGTTTTCCACTGCAAAAATCAGCTGAAATGAAATTTCAGTTCACCAACTTTTGACAAGTGCCTAGTGATTTTTTTTTTACTTTCTATAAACTCATCAACGTGACATCTTTCTACTATTCATAAGGGACCCATTAATGGCGATAACCATTCAAGACCTCACTTTAAAATCACCACACTACCTTGTTAATGGACTTTGTGGGGTTTGGGCCATTTTTTGACAAGTTGTGCAAATAACCACAAAAAAGAGTAAACCAGATTTACTAAATTGTAGTAATTCGGACTTTTGCTACTATGAATTATCCAAGGGAGGCTGTATCATCTATATATGGCCTTCCAAAAATACACAAGAAAGGGATTCTACACAGCGCTGTTGTCAGTAGCATTAACTCAGTTACACACAGCATTGCAAAACATCTTGCAACAATTTTGGCTCCATTGATTGGAAACACTCCACACCACATACAAAACTCCACAGGCTTTATTTCCAAAGTCAGGCTTTTGAGCTCGATTTGAAACCATTGTTTCTTTTAATGTAACCTTTCTCTTCACCTGCATTCCCACATCAGAGGTACTGAACAAAGTCAGGACACAAGTGGAACATGATGAAAACCTGAAAGACAGGACCACTTTAACACCTAACCAGATTTGCTACCTGTGGGATCTCTGCCTATGGACTACATATTTCAAATTAAGTGACAACATTTATAGACAGAAGCTTCCAATATCTATATGGAGAGATATTGAATGGAACAAAGCTTGCTCACTGGTTCCGATATGTGGATGACACTTCAGTCCAAATCCAAACCCCGGAAGTTGTGGTACATCGACTCAGTGGACAGAAACATCAAGTTTACTAGAGAGGATGTCAAGAATAACACGTTGACCCATTCTTGACTGTGCTGGGTACACTGAGAACAAAAGGGGTCTTAATACTGAGGTTTACTGAAAACTCAGCTCTACAGACCACTATCTGCAGTTCGACTCACATCACTCACTGGAACATAAATTTTCTGTTACCATAACTCTTTATTACCAAGCTGAAACTATTTCCTCAGTTAAAAAAAAATGCAAAAAACACAGGAAATTCCTTGAACAGGTGGGGATTTGTTAAGTAAGCAAAAAGAAAACTAGCTGGAAGAAAAACATGGTATGTTACAAAGAGGAGAAAACGAAAAAAATGCAGAAAAATTGGTAATTACATATATGTCAGGGATTTCTGAGAAACACAACATACAGATGGATTTAAAACCCAACCATTCACTCAGGCAAAAGCTGTCTAAAGACAGAACACCCAACCCAAAGCTGAGTGTCGTTGTTTATGCAATCCAGCACACTGAGGAGTGTTCAGACTCCGATACCGGAGAAACCAAACAGCAGATGCCTGGCACAGCATAAGAGAGTCAGTAGCTCTGGGTAAGAATTATCTGTACCTCTTTACCTCATAAACAAAGGTAACAATTTTGACATCCAAGATATTCAGATATTGGACAGAGAGCACAGATGGTTTGAAAGAAGGCTGAAGAAAGCCATTTTTGTGAAAAGGGAAACACCATCACTGAACAGAGGGGAAAGATTGTGGTTTCAGCTTCCAAGCATTTACAATTCAGTCATGGAACGTATTCCAAAGAAATTTCTTAAGCACTCCAATAATTATTCAGTTGTGCATGTACAACCAAATACCCAACAGGTTGATCCTTAATTTGCATTTGACTTGAAATATGCTTAGGGGGAAGGACCTCTGTGCTGCATTAATACACCGGCACTTAAGTGATTGCTCACCACCACATTTAAAACAAGACTCTTGGATAGCTGTGGAAACATCTTCAGAAAAAAGAGCAAGTTCTTTCCAATTTAAGCCTGTTTTGTGGTTGTCATGACCCAGACGATTGAGAATTTCCACAGCCTGATGTGCAAAGAAGTGCATATGTCTCCTGGAGGTTTGCATGTGTTCACAAGCCTGGTTGTGAATATGAACAAACTGGCTGGGAAATAAATATAAATTTACCTGCAATAAAATACCAGCAATCTAACACTATCTTACTTTGTGAGGCATTCAGATTAACCTTGACTTGGATACGTACCGCTCCATACAGCTTTCCATCCCTGCTGATGGCCAGATAATAGTTGCTGTGCAGCCCTTTAATGGCCACCACTCCCACTTCCACTGATGTGATTTCAAAAATACCTAGGAGTTAGAAAAACAAGGTTACATCACAATATGTTGACTATATCAATGAACAAAAGATCCCCCTGTATGCAGAAAAACTAAATGAAGAATATTTCATTCCCTAAACCATTTAAATATTAGATAAAATTCAAATCCACACCGATACATCTTATTCCAATATCTGTGACAGTGATGCTTAATTTTTTTATGGTCAGTACCATAAGAGGGTTGGTAGTGTTTTAAGATGCAAAGTTTTAAAATATATCCACAAGCAGACATGTTAATATCTTGATACATTTTTATTCAGCAGAAGTCATTTCCATCTCTACACAGAAAAATCAAATGCTAGATTTCCAGTGTTGGTGCTGTATTTTGACAGCGCAGTGTTAATTTAAGTGTGTTTAGTCTAATTCAACTATGCCAGCATTAGTTTCACCAGAGAGTTGGTGTTGAGCCAGGAAGTACAATTAAAGCAACTCTTGTTATGTTCATGTCAACATAAGTTGCCACAATAAACGGCAGACTGGACTAAAAATGTGTTATGTAAACATGTCATGTTTGAATATTCTAAACAGATTAGGCAGGATTTGAATAAAACTGTTTTCAGACTAAAATGGCTTATTCCTGTTCACAATATCATCTGCATGCATTCAAACACTTGTTTGGATCAAGTTATTTTAAGCTGACCAGAATATGCATGTGCACCCCACACGAACACAGGGTCTTCTCAATTTGAATGGCTAGAGGTTAGTCAAAATACTCTGAATGGCACACTTGCATGACATATTTTCAGTCTAATTGGCCCTTTTATTCTGATTACTTATGTCTATAAACAATGTGAAATTATGTTTTTTTTGTTTCAGAGCTCGGTTGATATTATTCTGACTTTAAAATGTTGTGCATCTGACAGCAGCAGATTAAATATTTTGTTGAGTGATGTTTTCGGCTTTACACGGCAAAATGCTAAGCTAAGCTAAGAAAGGTTGGGTTGGGACAGGTTTAAGCTCATGTTTCCCCTTTGATAAACTGCTAGAAGTTGGACAAGCTCTTTGAGCCGGGTGAGCTAAGTAGATCTCACATCTTATTCTTGCAAAAACGCAACAGACCCTTTTACATACACAGCCAAGGTAGCATGTACATTCCCCCGGTGCAGTACTTGCATTCAACAATAGCAGACTTTGAGTTGTGGTGTAGGGTGCAGAGGTTTGTTCTGCCTACAGAGGCATGTTGATTTTAAGCTTCAGCATCATCTTTCTCATTAGTTGTGTCCTTTACCAACATTCCCTAATGATAGTGGTACCTGTGCACAACTGCCTTGCCTCTGTCTTGTGCTCGAGCACATTATTATTATTTTAACTATTATTTAATTCAAAGATCCCAATAGTTCATTACATTTTCAGACTTGCAGCTGGATAAATTAGTAAGATGACAAAGACTTTCTTAAGCTGCATTGTTTCCTCATCTTCATGTTAGTGATTTTACAATTTGTTTTTAAATAAATAGCTAAATAAAAGTGTGAAAAAGGTAACACATTCTTTATAAAGCTAATTACATAATCAATAAAAGATTAAACATTAGTACAATAATACATCTTACAAGAAGTATTTGAATCAGAATAGCTGTAAGAAGAAAGTTCTCAAATAAAATATAAATAATAGTATATTTTTATAATAGTATATTTTATAATAGTATATTTGGCTCTTTAAAATTTGAGAAATTCAGGTGTTCAAAGTAAAGGGCATTTTTTTTATTTTGTTGTCTAGATACCCACACATAACAAAATCAAAATAAAGCAAAAATAAGAATTAGACCATACAGTAATAGAAACTTAAAACATGAGAAAAATAAACTGATGAGATAGTTAGGTCATACTAAGATTAATATATGTGTGCTGCTGTCTAGAGTCAAGCAACAACTGGACATTTGTAATGATTGCAAATGATGATTACAATCAGCATATTTTAGATTATTTTTAAGCAAAAACACATGAGTGTAGGACCTATACTTCTTTTAAGTCCGGTTTGCTGAATAAAACGGCACAATAAAATGTTTATTTTCATGTTATCTTAAAAAACAAAATGTAATTAAATGTACAGAAGTGGGTTTTCTGTTATCTTAGTAGTCTTAGTTAATGAGCTTAAATGGTTTAATGCAATTGGTTTCTTAAAATTATTCTATTTCAACTTACTTGTCAAGGGTTATAAACTACTCAGCCTGGAGAGGCCCAAGAATTCATAACTAGTAGAAACCAGTTCTGACCTTTCCTGTTAAAAGAATCAGTGTTGTGTCTCCAATTTGGTTTATTGTTCAGGTGAACACCTACTTATGAGAGTCCATTTTCTCTATTTCAGTTCCCTGAATGATCACCAATGTGAGTTAAGCCCCACTAAACTCCCATTGGGCTGTGCCTGCATAAATCCACAATCCACGGGTTTTCCTCAAGTTGATCAGGAGACTTTTGGTTGGTATTTATGTGCAGTCTAGAGTTCAACATCTGTACTTTTGTTATGTCCTCAGCACTGATGAGGCCACACAAAAAGTATCGTAGCCCATGATGCAGTCCCTGAGTGGAGCTGAAACGGTCCCTCAGTGCTTCTTCAGTCTGAGGGACTTTGAGCTGATCTCTCTGTAGCCTTTTTGATGCAGTGTTAGTGCAGCCATTTCATTCACTTTGTTTGTCATGATGATGGATGGGATGAATGGTCTACACCTTCTCCTGTCAATGCTATAGCAGGACTCCTGTATCCTACCTCTCTATTTGCAAGGAATAGCTGGATGGGAAGGGTTACAACAGAGCTGCTGAAAGTTAACAGCTCATCTCTTGTGTAAATAGCAGGAGTATGGCTGGTCACAAATTGGTAATTTGCGTTGTGTGTACAAGCAGGATGGGGGAAAAAATCAAAAACAGAAACACACAGCACATCTTAAACAATTGATTTAAAATCAAAAACTGAATGCTAAATGGGACCTGCTGAAAAGGGCGCCCTGCTTGAGCAATGCTATCGCAGACAATAAATGATCGGGGTTGTCCAGATAAGGTTAAAAGTGTGATGCTTGAGTCCAACGAACTATTATTTCCAAGTCTACATCTAATTATGTTTGAATAAGGTATCTGCAGAGAAAAAGCTTAAGTGAAAATATGAAACTGACAGAGGTCATCAAAGCTGTAACAGATTTTGTAACACTTAAGCCTTAAGAAGAAGAATGTAAACAATTTTAAGGGGAAGAGAAGCGATGTGGCATCTGTCTACTATTCATAAGGGACCTGTTAATGACAATAACATTTCAGGACCTCACTATAAATTAAGTACACTACCTCGTTAATGGATTTTGTGGGGTTTGCGCCATTGTCCATTTTGTTTTTGGACAAGATGTGCAAAGAAAAAATTACGTCGTCACATGTTGCGGCTTGAATCTAGCACTGATCACAGATCAGTAAAGCCACTTTCCCACTAAAAAACTGGGTTTTTCAAAACAGGGTTGACCCGCTAAAAACCGGCTGTCGGCTCTTTTCCCATTTGGCCAAAAAGCAGAGTCTGAGCCCTTGCTGGTAAGCTGTGTGGCCTCTGCCCACCCCACCCCCCACTGTGTGTTTAATGATGGCATCATGTCAGGTGATTGTTTATAATGTCGACATTGCAATGGAAATCAGGGAAGTAAATAATGGAAAGCCACATTGATGGGAGCCAGCGCGTAGTCAGTATTCTTTATATTTTCGGTCTTATATCTGTCTGAATCCCTTTCACCAGCAGTATGCCATCTTTTAAATTAGATCAGAAGTGACTGGTGCGGTGTGTTAAAGTCCATACATTGCATTCAATTGGCATCACATAATTTAGCGCATAAACCCGGGTCTGGGGTTCCTACAGCCGAGGCGATTTTATCATGGGTGCTTGCCGAGTCGTTTGACCTGGGTAGACACACATCAGTGAGCTGTTCCCACTGTCACTAAAACCCGATTTTTTCCGGATTAAAACGGGTTTTTCAGCCAGTGTGAAAGGGGTATAACAGAAGAAGTTTTTAACTAATGTGTTTTAATTGGGAAAGTTGTAAAGTTCAGTTAGTAATGGCAATGTTGCTTCCAGCCATGTTTACACACATAAGAACACGTGGCAGATGCCGACATCAGGGACAGCTGATCAGTCATGTGAGTTAAAGTTGGCTGTCAGAGCTGATTCGAAAAAGTGTTTCCATCTCCCATTTTGTGCATTGACCCTTTTTACAAGTGTGAAAAACATACTCAATTGAGCATAAAAACTTTTTTTCCCAAATTTTTGTGAGTTTGTTTAAATTTTGCTGATACCATCAAATCTTTCTGATGTGATAATTCAAAATGTATATTAGAAGAAGCTGATGGAAATGCACCTTATGTGGACCATCGACTGGTTCTGAAATACAACCATAATGTCATTGTTTGTGTTGGCATGTGTGTGTTAAGGGCTGTGTTATCAAGCATGTGCAAACACACAACTTTGCAGCCGGTTTTGGACATTTGGAAGTATCGTGGCAGAAACTACTGGAGGTGGCTTCAGTGTTATTCACTATTAGAGCTGCTTTCAAATGTTGTAGGTTACACAGTTGCTTTCTTGTGATGGGAACACTAACCGACCAAGAAGCTTGTTGTATGCACTTAAACCCAGCTTTGTCTGATTGGATTCTATGAGTACAACTACAGTTGTTTTTGGTTCTAGCACTTTTGCCATTCTATGCTCTGCACCACAGTTAATTTAATTGCTCTTTATTGTGAGCAAATGCTATTTACATTTTAGAGTACCACTAAAGGAAACCCAGATACCAGAAGTGTTACTTGTGCCACAGATTAAGAACCTTGGATCTGTAAGAATATAATGACTAGCAACATTCAAAGAGCAGGACATTTACATGTGGGAATGTGTGGGAGTTTTTTTTAAGGTTACAATTATTCCTGAGCACATTTATCATTTTGGTGATATTATAAAGTTACTTTACAGCCTACACCTGCGTAACAGATTCCAGCTGCACAGGTCATTTTGTTGGAA